TTAATCCATGAAAATTTGAATAAATTTAAATCTAACTCAAGTCTAATTCAAAATACGAAAAACACAAACTCTAGAATTATTTAGATCAATGAAGAACACCGCGTTCTTCACAGACTGGAACTTTAGTCAAACTTCCTTGATCTCCAGAACTCTGACCGATGTAGAGGAAAAGCAGTTTGATATTTGGATTATAGAAACGATATTTTTCTCACCAAAATAATCAAAGTAGATGAAAGTTGAAATACAAAATTGAATTAATCTCTCACAAATGAAGTTCTCTCAATGTTCAACCTCATAAATTTTCCTACAAAAGTATTTTGGTATATATAGGTAGGTTAGAAAAGCGAATGGACCGGGGAAAAAGCCTTTACATCGCGAAATAAAGGTTTCCCAGATAAACATGTGGTTCGAGCGAGGGCTCAGCGATAGTTGAACGACAGACTATCACTCGAGCAAAGTAGAGACGACAGTCCAGCGACGATATTTCTGCTTTTATAGCTCGAGCTAAACCTTGGCGACAGTCTAGCGAAAATCCTCGCCATTTTCCTCTTTTTGCCATTCTCGAACCCTAAACCTAATAACCCTATTTTCTACTTCTTGCACATTACTCCTTGACTTTTTAAACACAGCACAATCCAGTCCTTTTGTTTACAGAATCGCCAATTACGAAAACATCTAAAACCTAACAAGATTTTCAAGAGCATAAAAGAATCCTAATTGAAAGGTTGTAAAGTCTATCAAAACCAAAAGCTAGAAGTGCATTGAATAAGCGTAACAGAAGCAGATGAAACATTTTAAGCCTCAGAAATTCCAAAAGCCAATCCAACATCTAGCAATAAGCCATTGTCAATATCCAGTTAAATGCAACCTCTTACAAAGTCACATTTAAGAAACATGGTTTTAGGCCAATTTTGGGAGAACACACTCTACACATGCACCAACCTTAAAAATCTCCACCTTTCTACAAAGCAGGGCGGATGTGCTGACATGTGAGCCCGGTCTATATCCCAACCCTGCCCCAACCCAAATGAAAAGCTTGAAGTAAAAAAATAAAGATGTATGTATAAGTTTAGCTTAAGTTCTACTTTAGCTTAGTTAACTTAATTTAAAGCCTTAGTCTTATGATAAATAGTCCAGATTTAGTTTAGGGAAAATTTAATAACTAAGAAATTAAGTATGATCTATTTCAAAACTAAGAAACAAGATTTTATTATTTCAAAAATCGGATATTAATTAAATTTTATTCAAGAAAAAATTAATTAAATATATTATGGTCACAATTACGTGTTTATACAACTTATTTCTTGATAACATATTATCAAATTAATTAGTCACAAATTATTTTTACTCGATTNAATCGGATATTAATTAAATTTTATTTATGAAATAATTAATTAAATATATTATGATCACAATTACGTGTTTATAAGTCACAACTTATTTCTTGATCGCATATTATCAAATTAATTGGTCACAAATTATTTTTTCTCGATTACAAATAAAAAAATTTATAGATCGCAACTTATTTCACGGTCACAAATTACAAATTTTATAGGTCATAAATTATTTCACGATTACAAAATTATCAAATTAATTGATCACAATTTACTAAATTTTGAGTCACAATTACGCATTTTTCTAGGTCATATATTATATATTAGTCATAAATTAACAATTTATTGGTCACAATACCAAAAAAAATTGTTCACAACACTCTTCCCACCACCATCATGAGTATCGTCGCTTCCAGAACCACCATCACCTCACCACAGTACCTATAACACCACTACCACACCTCCACGCCCACAACATACCATTACTGCACACCGCACCACCCACAACACACCACCTCCACCACCATCTCCTCTACCTCCATCTACACTACACTACACCCAACCACCACCCTACTAAAAAATCCACAAACTCCCCATGCCATCGCCACCGCCGGAGTACACTATCATCGCCTGCACCACCCACACCTCGAAAAATCACCGCAAAACTATCGCAAAACGCAGCAAAATCACCACAGAAACCTCCACAAACGGCGCTGTGATCTGTGACACTGGAGAAAAGTCCAGATCGCCGATGTGATCTGCAATGCCGGAGAAAAGTTTAGATCCACAAGTGGCACTGTGACCAGGCAAAACCACTAGGGCGCATCGCATCGCTGTGCCTCGACTCCACTACGCAAAGCTGATTTTGCTCCGCAACACTGTGCCTCAACTCTATTTAAGCTGTGACCATCTGATAACGCATCCACTTAGGCGAAGCGGCAGAGCTGCGCATCCACTGAGGCAAAGACCTACGCATCCATTGAGATGAAGCGGCGGTTATGCCTCCGATTCTGCGCCTCAACGCCGGAGTTGTGTTGTCGAGGAAGAGCGGGGAAATTAGAGAAAGGGAAATTTGGGTTTGGGGTGAACAAAGGTAGGTTGGGTGTGTAGATTAGTTTAAAGTGGAGTGAGTTGTTTTGGTAGGTGCGGCGTTTGCAGATTTATTTTACTTTATAATATTATTGTTAATATTTAAAAATTATGTTATCATCTGATTTTTGTATTAAAAACTTTACATTTGAATTTTGAAGTTGAAACTTAAAAAATCTTGTTAGATGTAAATTCCACTTTAGCCCAATTAACTTAATTTTCAGCCCTAGTCTAATTATAAATAGGCTAGTTAAATATTCTTTGTATATTGCACATTCATCTAATCCACATTTGAGCAAAATACGAAAAACTCATTATCAAAGTTAGGTATTTTATTTCATCTATATTTGACCAACTTTAAAAGGTTAATTTCCAATTAAATAAGTAAATTTTATAGTAAATCAATTTTTTAATTAAAATTAAAAGTAAATTACTTGTTTAAGTAATTAAATTTTTTCCTATGTATATTTTCACATATTACTTATTCATAGTTACAAGAAAAAAATTTACTTATTTTGAGTATCTTTTATGACGTGGGTTCAATGAAAATTCTATAAATTGTAGTTCACCATCACATCTTTTTCTGGCTCTGTCCCTGCTACCAAAAATTGGACTCTTACATTGCAAACCAAGCCTCACCAACAGTTTCAATTTAATGTGCTCATTGTACCTGTACACTCAATTAACAGAACTAACAGATAATAACTTCAAGCAATTCATAAACTCACTCAAGTGTATTATTTTAGATCCCATATGAGAATGATTGAAATGAGTTGCAACTTTTGATATCTTAAGTATCCCCTTAGATACAATATATCTTATAAAGTGATATTTAGCATCAATATATTTTGTTCTATCATGAAATATGTAATTTTTACTTAGACGAATTGCACTTTGGTTATTCATTTTCTATGATAATTTTCATGATGGTGATGACACGTTTAGCGACCAAAATTTGACATCTCAAAGTTTAGCGATCAAAATTCGACCACCTTAAAGTTTAGTGAGCAGTAGAAGATGTTTTACAAAGTTCAGGAAGCAATCAGAGATATTTTTCAAAATTTAGTGATTAAGGCCCTATTTGAGCCACCTTATTATAGAATGAGAAAGAAAAATATAATCGTTATTGGGACTCACACAAGAGATAGAAAATTTGAATTTAAATGTTGATGTGATTGATAACGGTCATATTTTTCATTTTAATGAGATAAAAAGGTGGCCCAAATGGGGGCTAAAATTCAATCATCTCAAAATTTAACGACATGACGGGATGTCAAGGGCACATTCCGTCAGCTACGTCATCAATTCCATTAGAGTTTTTAAATGAAAGTTATACTGGCGAGTAACCTCCAATATTTTTGAAATTTTAATGACCATAACTCGATATGTTAAATTTTAGGGAGCCATTGAACACATGAACATAAGTTCAATTTCCATTGGAAGAATTAACACTCGTAAAACCTAAAAACAAATGACGAACAAAAAGCGAAGCCCTCTACGCGAGCACAAAACACACACACAACGATGAAATAACAAACAAATTCACTCAGACCACAAACTTTCCAGTGAATGGGGAGATGCGGAGCTTCTCTTTTCTTTTACCGTATTATAGCTGCGTCCAAATCGATTAATCCAATTTTTTGCCCAAACCCACCTCTTAGATCTTCAGTTTCTGCACTGCCCAGAAATTCATTCTTAAATTTCAGGTCTTTTTCTGCGTTCCCATCTCCATCCCCGTTTTATGCTGAAGATTTCGATTATAAGACCCCTAATTTTGATCAGAATCAGAATTTGGAGGAGTACAAGGAAAATGAGGACGCCGGAAAAATATCAGTGAAAGCTTTTTTCCTTTGCACCAGGTTCATTTTTTCCACCATTTTTTGTTTATAAAAATTGGATATAAATTCTAGGTTCACTTCTTTTTTAGTTTGGGTTGTATAAAATATTGAATTTATGCTAATTCTGTTGAAAATTTCTGGTTAAGTTATTTGAAATTGATGTAAAAGTTGCACAACTTATTCAAGCAAAAGCTTTCTTTTATATGTGTGTGTGACTGTCTAATTTCTATTTAGTAATCCTGAATTTGGCGATTTACTGTATGATTGGTTGTTGGTGGAGAAGATTGACCCCCAGTTGAATAGAGGCAGACTTGCGATATTGGATAATTATATAATTAGTAGTGAAGGTACATAAGGGACTCTTCTGGAAAAAGAGGTGCCACGGGCTCTCTCATTGAATGGTTTTCCATGGAACAGCTTAGTGGCATTATTGGGTAGTTTTTGTATCTAAGAATGATTTGAGGAAAATAATTTCTGAAGTATGAACAACATTATGATTTTCATAACCTCTGACCTACTCATTCAAGTTTTCATTTATGATCATGGAATAGTTTAGTTGTGCTCTTCCAATTTTTCCCATTCACAAGGGTGACACAATCTCAATAGAGCACGTAAGAAGTAGGGGAGGAATAACAAAATGAGCAGAGCCTGTTGTGGTTGTGAAGGTGTAGTGATATTGGATCTCTGGTAGATATAGTGTTGTATTAAATATAATCACAAAAAGGGATTCTTGGTGTTCATTTCAATTATATTAGGAATAAGGGTTACATACCGTTTGGGTACAATTTATAAATTGGTTTATAAATTCAGTCAAAGTCAAATATTAACTTCAACCACACCTTCTAACCACTACTTATTATTTTTTAAACATTTCGTGGGATCCACTACTATTCATCTTACTATTCATATTTATAAAACATTTAAAATTTGCTAATTGGAGGCTTGGTTTGTTGTTGATCATGGAATATTTAAATTTCAAATAAATAAAAAACGATATATATATATATATATATATCACAAGACATCAAAGACCACCTTTTTGGAAACCAAGAACTTTGAGCTTTTTATTTTTTTCCTCTCAATGAATTTTACCTTGGCCAGAGTTTGTTTAGAAGTGTAATTCCTGCCATCCGGGGGTACAAGAGAAGGGTGTAAATAAAGAAGTGCCTGTGCTATTATTTTCACTAGCAGGGGAGCACCGAAGTCCATATAGTATCATAATACATACTTTATAGTCATGATGTTGGTGAATATATATTGTTTGGTTAGGCATCCTTTTCTTGTATTCATTTATCAGTCACCTGACTGAAGTTGGCCGATGATTTTCATTTATAGACTTTCCTTTTTCCATCAAAGCCTTAAAAGTTTCTAGTTTGTTCTGACAATTTTGAGTATGACTAGGAATAAAGGTAACCTGCTACTATTTGCCTTCTGATTTATTTAGCTCTCAGATGGTCAAACCTGAGCGAACTAATTCTGTTAGTTATTTAACTCATTAACATTTTAGTGGGCCAGAGGGTCATCTGCTACTGATATAAATGGTATACAAACTTTTGGTTAGTTATCGTGGTTACTCATCTCCGTTTATCGACAATGTAGAACATGTAAATAATGTAAATCGGAATTGTGAACATACCAAGCCTGGACAGAGTGAATCCAATTTTAAAAGAGTAGTTTTCAATATAATATGATCAATTTTATAGATTACCTTTTAGGCTTGTTTATGTTGAATCAATTGATCTAAAAGTTTAATTTGTTTGAGAGGACAACATGTTATCAATTTACATCTTTTCTTCAATCCACCCCCTCACGTGTAGGCATGTTCATTTTTTTTCATCAAAGCCTTACATGTGCATAATTTCATAAAAGGGTGACAAAAAGACTTGAACCCGGATCTCTGCGTGCTCTGATACCATGTAGAATCAGTTGATCCAAAAACTTAAGTTAGAGAATGTCACATATATCATGTAAAGCTTATCTTCAACCGTTCAGAATTATACTAATCCGAAAGGTTAACTTGTTAGAGAAGATCCCATGTATGTAATTTAATTCTTGTCTTCAACTTTTCGGAATTATACTGACTTTTAGTTGAGTAAATGTTGCCGATGTTGCCAAGGTAAATTCTCATAGCTGACGAAAAATGATTACCAACTGAATAACAGAGTGAAAACTTTCAATTTTCATATTTCTATAAAATTGGAATACATTGTAACCTTGCAAATTTATATTTTTGTTTCTCCTTGCTTACTCTTGAGTTTTGGATGATTGCTGTCTAATTTATGTCAAAGTTGTAAATAACCATTACATGGTTTCTGTCAGTTGTTTGGTTTGTAAAATCCTTGCGCATGGTCACATCTGTGTTTTTCAGGATTCCCGTGTCACCATTTCCGTTTTGTTAGTTTTCCATCTTGTCTGTCTAGTTTCTCAGATACATGGTTTTGGCAGTGTTGATTTGAAGAGCATGCAAGCGGAGAATTCAGGCAATGTTATTCCTCCTAGCTCGCGTTCATCTAACTATATTGCGCTCAGATTTTGCGATCCCCCACTGCAAACTGTAAGAGGAGTTGATATGCCTGCATTCTACTTATTTATTCTTTGGACAATTCATTAGCCTATAATATTAGAAGTTGTAATTAGAATATAAGTTCTTCGACACGATCTGGGCATCCTCTGGCAAGAGGGAGTGCGGGTGGGGGGGAAGCGCAGAAATCTTACCGATGAATTGGTATTTGCTTCTACTATGTAGCTGTTCTAGTTGCCTTAAGGATTGAAATGGTATAAGCAGCATTGGAAATTTGTAACTGGCTAAATGTTGTCTACCTTTTTTATGAATGTGTTTCCCTTTCTATTTCCTGGTGCTACAAAGTCTTACAATGGGAATAGTGAATCTAAGGAAAATGCTACGGAATTTGTAGGCAGTGGATGAGATCACTTCTAACTAAAATTTAGGGTTTAGAGTTTTTTTTTAATTTGTAGATTTATAGGGTTTAATTGTGTTTCATTATATTAAGGGATTTTTGTTTTGGTCTCACTCTCACAGACTTCTTCCTCCAATTATAAATACTTCAAGGGATGAGAATTTTTGTTCTACGTCTCTGAGCTATGTATCTGCATTTAATTCTTATCATTGAAGAAATGGAACTTTGACGAATAACTAATTGATTTCCTTTCTTTCAGTAAATCTTTTCCCCTGTATTTCACTGTGAAATAATAAAGAAATAAGAAATTCACTGGATTATTCTTTATGAGGACAAAGTTCACTGGCATGTCGTTTCCTTTTTCTAGTTTATTTAATAACAACGTGACCTAGGATGCAAACTTGCATATGGGAGCATGGATGTGTGAGAAGACGGGAAATGGGGTGGAGGAGGATGTATTATTGGACTGGACGATAAAGTCATTCTAATATTGAAATCATATTAAAAAATATGCGACCCTTATAGATGTCCCCCTTCACATGCCACACGCAATACACTTCTTATGCAGTCATGCGTCCACGGTTAGTTTTACCGCAATAGATATAGATTTGTAGTAACCAAAAAATAGGTTAACTGAACGTGAGATTGGAGAAATCAGATTGCCTGCTAACTCTCAGTAAATATGTTCAGTAACAAAAGTATTACTGTTTGGAGTAAAGGTTTCACATAATTGCCTAAAACTTTAAGAATGAGGGAAAACTGTGGACACATAATCAAGCAAATAACAGATTATTTTATTTAGCCTTTTCCATTTCTGGAGATACAGTTATGTCATTTTAAGGTTATATATCAAGCTAGCTTCCATGTTCAGCCTTACACAAATGCCCCTTTTCTGTTAAGTGTAGGAAATTAGAAAATATGCTCATTAACCTTTATATGTTTCCCACTCACTGGTGATGGGAGAAACTGCACTCTAAATTTCGGCATTTTAGCTGTATTTTGCTTCAGAGGAGTTGAACTGACAATCCTGTCTTTGTTTGGCCTTTATTATTTTCACTTAATTCTTGTGTATTCTCTCTTTTTACATTTTATAGTCCAAAAAGTGGGGTTTCACAATAGGGGGCAATCCTTGTCTTATTTGAATCCTTCCCCAGAGGACTTGAACTTGCAAGGAGGTTAGAACGTTGACCACTAGGGCAAACCCTTGGTTTCACTGTTGCGTTAACTTGTGCATTTGAAAATTTTCATATTCCTCAGATGTTTTAGAATGATATCTTTGGAGTTAGGACATATTCATGGTACATATGGTTATTAGTCAGAATAAGTTTATTTGTTCGACCTTTAAATTTCTGATTTAAATCATCCTTCAATCATGCCACCACGCTAAATGTCTGTTTAAGTGGACGTATTCTTCTTCTTCAATGGCTTTGGATTGAGTAAGTGAGACTGCTTTTAGATCATATACTATACTTAAAAGAGTGAAAAAAATTCAAACTTTGTTTCTGTTGAATTGTCTTGGTATATATAACTCATGGAAAATTAACATTTCGTTTTAGGGAAGCGTATTTGTAAAGAATGCTAGTTGCTGTCGTTACATGGTTGTCTTCCAATATGGTTCAGCAGTCCTGTTCAATGTGGAGGATCATGACGCTGAATACTACCTACAACATGTTAGACGATACGCTTCTGGATTGCTTTCTGAGATGAAGAAAGACGGTGTGGAC